AGCGCCGACTCGTCGTATGAACTCCGTGTCCTGGTTCGGCTACACTGGCGGGAACAGGGACTTCAGCGAGATCGCCTACGAGAATTCAAAAGGAGGGGGGAGTTAGTGACCATAAATGCCCTTCATGTAGCATACGTAACATACAATAAGTGATGCAGAGAATGAACTTACCATCACCATCCGTAACATCGCAACCCTGATAGTCGGCATCGTTGCTCGGGGCCGCATGTGAGGGCTCCATGGCTCCTCCATCTGATATTACAACACATATGTAACTGCATATGTGTTCGACGTTTGCAGTTGGAAGATAATGGAAGCGTACAGGAAGAAAGAAAATGAGAAAAATAATTCCCATGTTACCGTTCAAATTCGGGACGGCAAATATCGGCTCCATCTGTTCTCCACCTAATTGGAGACCACAATCACACCACATGAATATGTTATTGCATTTTCATGAATTCAGAACGGAAGTAGATGACATCGAATATAGTAGGGAAAAATCGTAGCACATGACAACGTACCTATCTGTTCGTCGGTTGCTACGGGCAGTGGGTCGTGTACGTTGTCCGGGCGAGCCGCGATGTCTCCTCCATCTGTTGATGAGAACATGAAAACTGTGTGAATACATTAGGTTTCCCAACTTCCACAACATACAAATTCCGTCAAATAACAAGTTTCAATGTGCTCATAAATAACCCACGTACCTTGTACATGTGCAGTTCCTGTATCTGCTCGCATGTCTCGCTCGTCTGGAGAATGCTCCATTTCTCCTCCACGTATTTCTAACTCGCAATTGTCGTATGGAAAAAAATGTGAGCTACAGGTGCATGTGCTACTGTCAAACATGGGTGAAAATTATAAACCAAACGGTTTATGTATTGAACATTCATACCTTGCGGAATACTACCTGAAACGCCACCCTCGGTATCGGAGGGCATCGCGGCTGGAACGGGGGTCGGAGCAGGTGGGGCCACGAGGGTTGCAAAGAAAGCTCGGAGTTTTTTACATTCGGATGTCACGTGCTGTTCGATTTCAAGCTTGCCGATGCGGAGTCGCATTTCAAAGAGAATTCTTTGGTCGAACAACATCTCTTCCACCTCCTCTTTGGTGACGCCTGATCCGGATGTGCGAACTGGCCGTGTCTCCTCGTCGGCCCTCGCACTGGAGAAGATACGTAGGTCGCTGGAGGTGTGGAAGACGCACCGGTCTGCCCTCTACAAGTATCCGCACCGACGCTGGATCGCTCACTGGCGCCCTCGCCACTCTCCTCGGCATCGGCACCTTCATCTCCAGACGTGTCATCCTCACCACCTCCTCCGCTCGAGACTCCGTCATCGGATTCCTGCCTCACCAACTGGCCGCCACTTTCACTACCTCCGTGTGATGCATTAAACTGAACCCCACAACGTTCCTGGCAATCTCATCCAGCACAGGCACCGGAGGATCATCGTACGGCACGAGAGTGGAGAAATACTGCTGTTCCGCCTCAGCGTCGGTGGGACGAAGTGTGGCATACACATGCAACTGCAATGTACGGTTATACATTAGAAACGAAAAGATTCAGGAATGACATGAAACGTGAATAACAAAAGTAACACGTGGTATCCATACCCGCACGTTCTTGAAGAATGCATTGTATGTACGATACTGTGGCTGTTTTCGTGCGGACCACCTAAGCAATCGTGGCATTTGTTCCCCAACTCTCTGGCCAAAACGTTCCCCAATCTCGGGAACTGCCTCGTACGCCCAAACCTGTTCCATCAAGACAAACAGAAAAAATAACTGAGATGGTACGCACGATGCTACATGACGGCAAACAAATAAAGCATGATATGCTAGTATTTAAAACATTGTGTACCTGCATGGCAATGGAAAATCCATGAATAGTGTACGTAACCTCCTTCTCTTGCCTCCTCTTCGCCTTCAGAAATTTCTTTGCCCAGAAACCTCGGAATCCGTGCAGCAAACGCCGATAGCCGACTCTACCCCAAGGGTAGGCAAAAAAGATATCTAGGTCATCAACAATAGATAGTGTACGCAAATCAATTCCGACGTTATTATCAGGGGCATTGAAAACTCCTTCGACTATTAGCACGAGCCCTAGCTTGTAGCGGTCGGCTCGGGCCATCGAAGGTCGGCCAATAGTAGTTTGGAGTTGTGCCAACGATATCTTCTCCATGGATTTGAAGTACCTCTCCTTCGGCCTTCTCCTCTCCAACACTCGATTGAACTCATCACCCTCCGAGAATAAACCGCATCTTAACCCCGTCACAAGGGTGTATTCCTGTAGACCGAATCTCATCATGTTGCCTTGCACATTGAACCAGAGCTCGTTAACCTTGTCAGTGCGAATGGTTCTGAACACGAGCTGCTGGATGAGCTGGGCAGAGAATTGAATCTCTGCAACCTCGGCCAGATATCCGAATGGGGAGTTTCGAAACTCGTCGCGCTGTCGGTCATCGAAAACGTCCATCACTGTCTTCACATACTTCAAGTTGCTCCTCTGTGAAATGTGGGCCCGCAACCTTGCCTCCTCTGGAATACAATAATCAAACTCCATCAATCCTGTGTCCTGCAATATGCATTCATAAAACTCACTCGGGTTACTGGATAAAGTTAAAGATATTGTATCATAAGTAGCAGTTTAATGAAACACACTAAGGCATGGACACACTCAACTGTCGAGAAAAACTGACTACAACCGTCGGTACCGATAGATGATCTGTCGAGATCTGTCTATACCGACAGTTGATGTCCAAACATACCGACAGTTGATGTCCAAACATGCAAGAAGGCTGGCCTAACTGTCGAGAAAACCTGAGCTCTACTGTCAGGAACGACAGTTTAGTGGGAGGCATTGAACTTGTTATTGCTGAGATAAAAATTACGTAACTTAATCACTATTACCACATAATATTAAAGCAAATATTTGAATGGATTGGGGCCCCAATAATGCATGTAAACAAATGATTGACAGTCCAGTGGGAGGCATTGAACTTGTTATTGCTGAGATAAAAATGACGTAACTTAATCACTATTACCACATAATATTAAAGCAAATATTTGAATGGATTGGGGCCCCAATAATGCATGTAAACAAATGATTGAAAATGATTGATGTATTATACAAGCTTTAGCATTCAGTGATTGGAATATAAATAATGGAAACGTGATATTGATAAGCAGAATAATTAACAAACATTAGACTTCATTACCATGTGCCTAATGCCCAGCAACACACCTAAAACTCTACCGTTATATAACGGTATCCTATGGCATTATATTACAGTATATTAAAAAAATCCATGTTGTCTAAGTCTAAGGAAATATAAAATTGGAATAAACTGTGAACAGAGATCTTTGAGATCCATGTTCACAGTCACAGCTTACCAGAAAGAAGAGGGGAAAAAGAAAAAGATAGCAGAAGTAGGTCAGACAAATGATGAGAAAGATAAACTAAATAAGTATTCCCAACTCCACTGCTCTTCACAATTCAATATAAAAGACTACAAATGCCTCTTACCCTAAAATTTATTAACTGGGTGGGGCGTGGAAAGCATGTTAAAAGTCCCGGTTACATGGGAGTTTTTGTCACAATGCTTCTTCGATTTTCAGATTATGAAATTCCAACCTGCATATGGCAGCAAGATGCAATTCAAATCAACCTGCAATCCCCAATGGTGGTAATCATACGTCTGAAATAATCCTGAACAAAGTTTTTTAATCCACAGCTTCCATTTTCATTTTGTATGGTGTGACAATTATACTCCGCCAAAATCGATATGTCTATATGAAGTACACATGTCGTCGTACGCTCAATAAGAATCATACTGACTATAACTAGATCATTAGATTAGGATTTTAAAGCAATTACACGGAGTAGACCACAATCTAAAGAAAAAAGAAACTGAAACGGAGGTCAATACTTTGATTGCGTGTTGAATCTTTCCACCAGAAGGTGATATGATAAAACGAATGTGTCAATCGGAAGAAGAATCAACATTAGATGGTAATATTACAGACAACTACACATCTCAATGAAATTCCATGTATCTGACATAGTTTCTAATAGAAACAACTCCACCCTACTGAGACGAAATTGTAATTCCACATGACAATATATTTATTTTCTCCACTTATCTACATCTCCCATTCATGTGATATTGCGCCCCCAAGGGATCTACTCTGGTCACCACAATCAAGACAAACATTCAAATGAGCCTTGCTATCATATGGTATCCAAAATGGAGGAATATTATGTAGGACTACTTCGGGATCTATCAACTATAATTTTAAATTTTTACTTCTAATATGGTAGCATAAAATGAGGAACTTCACGGTTCATTAATTTTATGGCTGAGATGACTTGGAAAAGGTGGGTTTTCAGATACACAACTGAAGGTTTGGAGTTTCAGGAGGAAATGGCTAAAAAAAAAAATGGTTCGACAGGCTGTTCTAGGTGTTGTGTTAAACAATACCCTAGAAGATAACCATTCAGTTAGTGAGGTTTCACGGTGTCTAAGGGATTAGGAAAAATCCGAGCATCTCAAAAACAGTTGGGTTGAAAACACATGACGCGATCCACATGGAATCAAAAGCTCAGAAATGTTTAAGTACACTAAACAACTAAATTGAAGAATGGCACGAGTAATTCTTAGAGTTCGATCCCTACCATCCAACTAGGATGGACTTCGAGCCATACACAAGTGGAGGAAAACACAAAAAATAAGGAATACCAAGCACAAGCTTCTCTGACATTCTAAAAACTTCACCAATTCACACACTTTTTAGGACAACAGTATTATCATGAACTGTGAAATATCTAGAAAGTACACCAATGCTGAGCTTAAGAAGACAGTGACAATTATATCATGATAAACACTACGAACGGTACAAAATTTGCTAGGAAAACTGCAAGAAATTGTACAGAGAAAATACTTGTATGCATAACATTACAAGTCAAAAGGCATCTTGCAAGAGGAGGCCGCCAGCAATTGAATTCAGATTCAATGATAATTTTCACTAACGAAAATAAATAAAAAATTTACTTCTTCAAAGGAAATAAAATGTGCATTTCAAAAAGCAATCTGCACCTTCTACTTGTTCAACAATTGCATAATGAAAAAAATGTGGCTGCATCCTACTATTGGCCAACAAAGAGGAACAAAACTTGAAATTACAATGGGAAGTCAGAAGATGGGTGGATTTACCTTCGCCTTTGTTCGGTTTCTCTGGCAGTCGCAAGGGAGAAGACGGCCTCGACGTTGTGCTCAGCTTCGGGCGATTCGACGGCCACTGGGAGTGATTTCGACGTTGACGATCGTCGTCCAAGGCTGTGATTGCGGTCGGCGACTGCAGAGAGAGGGCAGAGAGAGGGTCGACGATTGCAGAGAGCTTCGACGTTGTTTTGGGTGAGAGGCGACGTTTGGCTCTCTTCCTTCATCTCGCTTTTTTTTTCTTTGTTTTTCTTCTCCAAACACTGCCTAGTCAAATCTACAATTAATGCAAAACCTGTAAGGTATTACATTTATGCAGAGGGGTAAATTAGTCCAAAACTTTCATAATTTGCCATATTTGTAATGTCAGAAAAAGAATGACATTTGTGTAAGTAAAAATCAAGATTTTGACATGCGGTGTAATTTCCACTAGAAGATATTTTTCAAAGTTTAGTGATCAAAATACGACTATCTCAAAATTTATTGGTGTGATGGGACACCACATATCCGTAAGCCACACCATCAATTTCGTTAAAGGTTTGAGATAAAAGTTTTATCAGTAACGTATAATATTTTTCAAAATTTAGCAACCAAAATTCGATTTTAAATTTCAGTGAGCAATCGAATATCTATATAAGTTCAATGACCATTAAAATAATTAACTCGGGATTTTACAGCGTTAGAATGTATACGACGCCGTTTAGTGGATGGTTTTTACAATTCGTGCAACGTGGTATTCCGGTTAATGATTCGACGTGCGAGAGTATTCATTTTCACCGTATAAATACTATTCTATATCTCTCGATTTACGTTTCCTGAGCCACTTTCAATCATTTCTTTCAGGAGCTCAATCTTTTCGCAGCCGATCTTTATCTCTAACTTCTGTAAGTACTTTTTAATCGTCGATTGATTTATAAGTTTATTTCTATTAATCTGATGATCATGTTGTGTATCCTGTACTTTTATCCGCTTTATTTAATTGTTTTTTGTTTGAATTGTTATCAGATCTGTTTGTTTTTGTTACTCAGCATTTATATTAACTTCTGCTATATTACTGAACATGTATTCCTTAATGTTTTTTGGTACAGCGAAAGAATTCCTAAATTTTGTCTCTTTAAAACTTCTTTTGGTCCCCTATTTAGCAATTTCAATTGAATTGATAGCTTATTAACAGAATTAATTATTCATGTTTTTTGAAAGACAAGATTTATATGAATTAGGGACGCACCTAGATTTATGGTTAAGTGGAGTTGAGATAGAAAATAGGCTAAAATAAATTGTGAAAGAAACCCAAAAAAATCTAACATTTAAATTTAGAAAAGCCCAATTGAAGGTTTTTGAATATTGAGTGGGGGCGGCCAACCCCGCACGACCCATAATGGGTCTGCCACAGTATGAATACATATACAAGCTTCCGGACGCGTCAAATATTTTATATAAAAAAATATGAGGAGGCATGTTGAGAACATATTTAAAAAAGTACACGTAGTCTTACTCTAATATCTTCAGCTTTTAGACAATGATTAAGTATTAAAAAATTTTCTTGGCTTTTTGTGAATTGTTGATTTACTTTAGAAACCATTCATGTACTACAAGCACAAATGTGAACTTAGTATCATGAATAGTTGTGTGCATTTGTGCATTTGTCATTTAGGTTTCTTTTACGAAAATGTTGGCTAAGAGAATAAATGGATTTTCTATATGATAACTGCTTTGGATATATACACTTACAACATAAACGGGGATGCACATACACTTTATAACTTTTGAATGCCTTTGCTAGTTGTTTTATTAGCTTCACAAGTCTTGGTTTTTTCTTTTTTCTTTTTCCATTTGAAGGATTTGTTGAAATAGTTACAATAAATTATGACGGTGGTTATTCTTTTTGCCAACTCGAGCATTTCAAGTTTCCCTGGTTTGACAGTACCTTTCGGGGCATATTTCATCTTATCATTGTCTTAGATTTAGGCATAATGATATTTATTTATATTGGTGAACTAATTTTGTGACAGAGTCTTCATAGTTGGTCTCAAACTTGACAATGGAGGAGGTCTGGATGATAAAATTAGAATGGGAAATTGAAACAGTGGGTCACTTTTACACAAAATACTTGGACCTAGTGGATATGGTTGGTAGGAGAACAGGAGTCAACGTAGGTTGCATAGAAGAGCCAAAATGAGTTGGAGAAAATTTTAAAGAATTATGGATCTAAAATTTGATATACACGTTTAAAGAAAAAAGCAGGAGTGGGATTAAATAATCATTGAATCGTGGTAGTGACAATAGTTAAATTATTGCTTTCAGTGCTTATACTCTATAAATATGATTAATTAAAGAGACAAATAAATGATCTGGGGAGGCATAAATTTGTTAATTCTGACCATTTTTCGATGGAGTAGATTTGAATGGGTATGTGGGTTGAGGAAAGTTGCTATATGAAACACTATTTGAAAATTTTGACTTCTGCATTTGTAAATTGTAATGGGGAAGATGAAATCATTTTTGGACTTTGAGATGATTTATATTTTGATGCTATTGAACATGCTTTTTAAAAGAGGTTCTCCATTAATAACATTTGGAAGTTGGTTAAAGTTCTTGTTAAAATGATCAGCTAGCTGACTAGATTTATTGGGAATAAGGCTTAGCTTCTTGTTGTTGTGCATATCAAAAATTTCTTTAGGTAAAATATATTTTGCCTAAATGAACTGACTTTGAATTAATGATTGAAATATTGGTGGCATCATCACATACTATTGTTACAAATACATCATGCTTATTATGCCATTTTTTGTGCTTGTGAAAAGAGGTTTGGTTTCTGACATTTTCTGTAAAATAGGATGATGTCACGCGATACCATATATTTATGCTTCTGGCAATTGTGTTCTCACTTCTATCTGGTTGTGTTCTTTTCCTGTTTATATTTTTGGCGAATAGGAGTCTTAAAAGCTAGAGATTCTTGTAGATGGCAGATAATGGGGAGCAGGAGGAAACTGCTCCTAGAGGAAATGAGTGGGAAGTTGTATCACTTACTGCATCAGCATATGCTGCTGCTCCTCATCCCAAACAGGTTGTCTCGAGCAATGATAACGTCAATAACTTAGGTGGAGAGAATGAGGCAGAATTGTCTCGTGCTATGTTTATGTCCAGTCATTTCGTTTTTCCTCCAAGTCAGCATGAGAACTTGCCATTGGAATCCGAGTATAATGAGATACTGCAAGAAAGGGGAGGTGAAGATGATGGTCCCAATACAGTTGCAATGGAAGGGAGTAAATCAGATGCAGAGGACATAGAAAATACGAGTATCAGAGGACTGATGGCTGATGAATTTCCTGGAAATCATGTTTTTGATGACAAGGGTAACAGGTTACCGGTCAGTGGTTCAGACTTGGAAAACTATATGGACTCTGACGAATTGCAGAGCATTTACAACACCACAGAATTTAGTTCGCTCTACAGTGAAGCAACCCCTGTCAGGTCTACCACTGTTGAGGACTTGGGGGCTGATGATGTGATACAACCTTCCGATCATAGCTCAGATTCAGGCTTGTCAAATTTTCAGAAGCCTTTAGATAAAAACAAGGCTGACCTTCCTTGTGAAGCTTGGTGGAAAAGGCGGGCTGTTTCTTTATATGCCCATGCAAAAGAAACAAACACAGTTTGGTCTATTTTCATTGCTGCAGCTGTTATGGGGCTTGTAATTCTTGGTAACAGGTGGCAAGTTCTGTGCCTCAAGTGGCAATTTAGTATCAATGATGAGGTATCAACATTTAATATTTTAAAAATTCTTGATTATTTTAATGCTTCCTAGTTTGGGTTAATCATGGTATCAACTTTTGATAGTTCGACACTTTTTTATTGCATTATTGTGTCCTAGTTTCCATAATTTGATAGTTGTTCTGTTTATTCCTTATGACAGTGGCATCCAGAAAATCAGACTACCTAATTCCATGATTTAATTGAAGATGCTTTATTTTTTTGTCCAACTCTAGAAGTACTGTATTTTCATTTTTATTTTTTTCAAATAATTGAGAGACGATTCAAGTTTTCTAGTCTTGATAAGTTACCCTAGTTTTTTGAGGATGGTGGCCAGACCATCTGTTTGCCACTTTGGATTCTTTTCCCATATGACCTTGTATAATACAACAATGTTTTCTATTATCCATGTAGCTTGATAAATTTATATTTCATTTTTAAGCACTATAAGGTTATACTCATGTCCGAGTACTCGTATTCTCGTGTCTCGGTGCATCTGCATGCGCATTAGGATTATTGGATAGGAAGGAGAAAGTGAAATAACATATCAAGCCTGCTGAGCTTTTGCTGAAGAGACGTTTGTCCACCAACTTGTGCATATTTGCTTGCAATATGTTTTAATTTGCATGAATTAGAAACTGTTCACATGCTTTACAGTTTTCACCCCAACGTGAGTGTTCATACTAGCAAATTGTACTGTGTAAAAGTTAAATAACCCAACAGAATTTTGTTCTATACGGTATCTCGACTTCTAATATTGTTAGAATGCATTAATGGTTGATTTTATTATTATTATTATTTTTTGTCTTATTTTTTTGAAGACTTTAGTTATTTGCATTTGTTGACATGATATTGTCTCTACAGAGGATGGTTAGGTTGCTGGGCCCCTTATCTCGATTTAAAGATTTGATTGTTGGTGGCCAGCGACAAGGGTCGCTTATCCGCAGGGGCCCCTAGCAGAACGTTAAGATGACGACGAAAAGCTTAAGAGGACGACAGAGTTCGTTGTATGTGATATTCTAAGTTTTATTGGGAAATTCGACTATCAATTCTCTTTTGACTAAGCTTGTTTACATTTGCTTTTTGTATGCTCTATCATAGGGTTGGTATGTATGTAAACTTATGGATATAATGTGACAAACAAACTGAACGAAGCAATTTTATTTCCCTTTACGATTCATTATCTTATCTGAGCTGTGAATTCCTGTTCGTATTTGGCTTTGGGTTTTAGTCGTTAAAGATTATACATTTTGGTTTAGGCCGTTAAAGATGATACATTATTAGTCATTTGAAGATGAACATACGTTTCATTATTTTGCTTGCAAGTTAAAAGTTTTAATTTTTTTTTTATTATTATTTTTTTTTTTACAGAATCTATATTTGTTAGTTTTCTTTATTGCAAAATTATTTTAGAATTAGTTTATTAAGGTCATTCTCCCGATGTATTATGTAGAAGTTTGGTGGGGATTAAAATTAAATTTTGTAGTAGATTGTGATATAAATTTTTGAAATGTGTGATTGAAAAGTTGTAGGACTCACGAAAGATGTTAATATTGATTGTTTGATTTTGATTTAGATTAAAATCAGATTTTAAAACCAAACATGAGCTATATATATTTAGAGTGTGGTTGGTTACATGGAAAGAATATAAATTTTAGGTAATCAAATTGTTTAAAACTTACTTGCATAGAAATTATAAATTAAAAGTGTTTAATTGATTTAATTTTTAAATTAAAAATTATTATACTTGTACATTTTTTATTGGTTGGCAGATAAGAGAGAGAGAGAATTGCATGGAAAATAAAAATCTACTTCCCCCTAAAAAAAATAATTTCATTTTTTCAAAACAAAAAAATATATATATGGTCATGTGATCAAAAGTAGGAAAATATTTTTCATGAAAAAAAATCATGGACGTGAATAATGAAATGTATTATTGAATATGAAATTTTAATTAAGTTATAATTAAAATTAATAACACAAAAATACATAAATAAATTTGAATATTAGTGAAACAAGTGTGATTGTTAATTAATTGAAAATTGATAATAGGAAATTTATACACTAATGAAAACACACAAGTAAAATGAATTAATCAAATACGCACGTGCATTGATGATAACGAAATGGTTAAATAAATTAAATATATGTTGAAAAATGAAAAGTAATGTATTATTAAAATAACTGAATTATAGTAGGACTAAAATCGTCCAAAAAATGATTCTAATTTAAAGTGATATTTAATTCCAATTAGTAAAATTGGATATTAGTTAGTATGCATGGAAGTGAATAATTAAATACATTCTTAAATACGAAATTTTAATTAACTTGTAACTAGAATTAAAAACACCGAAATGCATAAATGAACATGAATATTAATAAAATGAACGTGACTGCTAATTACAGTTACATCTCGATAAAGTAATACCCTCGGGACTGGAAAAAAATATTCATTTAGCGAGGTTATTTATTTATCGATAAATGAATAAATTATTCATTTATCGATAAATAAATATTTATTATTTTAGAGAGAGCTTTTCAATATAAAATATGTACATTATATGTGGTAAGAAAAATCAAAAGACACTAATGAAAGTATTATTTGAATCTAGGGAAACTCAAAAGTTTTAGTGAAACTTAATGTATCTAAAAACTAAGTTCACGTACATAGCAAATGAAAATATTTAGTCTTTACCTATAAAAGTTAGATGTTTGGAAGACATATTCCAAGCATATACAATATTTTGTTTCCCCTCCAATGTCTTCTCATCATTTGAAATGAGTAAAAAAATCAACTTTAACCGATAAAATGAGGAGTGAAATATGTGAGCATAAGAAAGAGAATCCAACTATTAGCCAAAAAGATATGCAAGCATGGGTGCAACAAAAGTTTGATTTGACTATTAGTTAATCAACAATATCGAACACTCTCAAAAGGGCCTCGGAATATTTGTCAAATGAGATGAAAAATAGCGATGTTAAAAGGCACAAATCGACAAAATACCCTAATTTAGAGAAAGTTTTGTATGAGTGGTTTCTTTAAAGGCAAGATAAAGTGAACATGTCTGGAGAAATTATCCAAGGAAAAGCAAAAGAGCTTTTGCAAAAAATGTATGGTGAAACTAATCTAGAATTCAGCTTTTCTAGTGGATGGTTAGAAAGTTTCAAAGCAAAATATGGAATCAAATCTTACCGACGTTTTGATGAAAGTGGTTCAGTTATCATGAAGAACATTGAAAATGCTTTATCTAGAATACGATCAAAACTAGACCAATTTTAGTTGAAGGATATTTACAATATGGATGAAACTGGATTATTTTACCGATTGAAAGCTGATCATTCACTTGCTACGAAGCAGCTCGAAGGACGCAAAAAAGATAAGGAGAGAATTACTGTTGTTGTTTGTTGCAATGGTGATGGATATGATAAAGTACCACTTTGAGTTATTGATAAGTATGCAAATCCTAGATGCTTTAAAAATGTGAACATGAACAATCTTAATTGCAAGTATCGATCCAACAAGAAAGCTTGGATGACTGGCTTGCTTTTTCAAGATTTTGTTGGTTGGGTTGATAAGAGAATGAATGGCAAGAATGTTCTCTTAATAGTAAACAATTGTCCAGCTCATCCAAAGGTAGTTGAAGGCTTGAGAAATGTAGAGTTATTTTTCTTACCTCCTAACACAACGCCTAAGATTCAACCATGTGATGCTGGGATTATTCGAGCATTCAAAGCTCATTGTCGTCGTTGTTTTTATTCTAGCATCTTACAAAGCCTTGAGGTTGAAGCACCAAATCCTGAAAAAATTAATATTTTGAATGCTATTAATTTTGCGAACATGGCTTGGAATTTTGATATGAAGACAACAACAATTGCAAATTGTTTTCGGCATTGCAAGATTCAGAAGAAAACAATGTTCCCGAACCAGAAGTTAGTGAATTAGATGAAGGTATCCAAGGATTAAATGATGTCATCTCTAATTTACACTATAGAAATGTGATGGATGTTGAACATCTTTTGAACTATCCTAGCGAGAATGATGCAGTTATGGAATCACCTACAGACGAAGAAATTATTCAATCGGTAATGAACAGTAATGATGATGAGAATAATTCTGAACCAGATGATAGTAGCGTTGTCCCAAATGTGTCGTCAAAAGAGGCATTTCAAGCAATAGTCACCTTAAGTAACTGCTTGCTACAACATGAGCAAAATATTCCGGAAGTTGTGTATGCTCTACAAAAAGTTAAAGAGGGGGTTCATTTTGGTTTAGGTGGGAAGAAAAAACAATCAACTATAGATGCATATTTTCAAAATGAATGATTATTGTACGGATATTGTTGATTGATTGAAAGAATTTGATATATATATATATATATATATATATA